CTGCCACACCCCGTAACAACCATGGCTTTTTCTAGCGGCAAGCATGTTGTCCGCTTCGCCATCTCCGGTAAAGCTGGGTCAACATCACATTCCAGAATATGTATATCTCCCATAAGTGTGATGCGTGTCCTTCGATGTATCCCACATTACTTGCGGACCAGATCGCTTGTAGCACACGTAGATGGACTGTTCCAGGTTCGTCAGTGACTGTGTTCGATCCGATCACCAGTTAGTTGACAGACCTGTATGGTCGGCTGGTGAATGAGAGGGAAGAAGGAATGAAGTCGACGCTGCGGAGTTTATCTCAACGGCAAATCAGCGCAGTACACGTTATAATAAGTTTGGCGCGTTTTGAAACTATCATTATGCGCCAAAGGTCGTGGATTGGAAGATTGCTAAGTGAGGGGATAACTCGGTCCTCGCGGTCAGCAGTGTATGTGGGTGACTGGCTGGAGAACTGAGAGTCGGACTCAATGGCTACTTCCTAATGCACCTTCAGTACGCTCCCACGCACGTGAGATCTGAGCCGCCCCTATAGTAGTCTGCCACATTCACTGGGAACCAGATCGCGTGTGAGGCGCGCAGACGGGCCATTTAACTTTGCCAGTCATTGCATCCGAGGCCACTTCCTGTCTTCTTAACATTAGCTAGCCACTGAGGCCTGATTGGTCTTGACGGACAGTGTGCGCATGTCTATCTCGTCATTAACTATGTTACACGCAAGTCAACAGTGCTGCGCCCACTCCGTGGGACATACGGTAGACGTTGTCACTCGCGAGAGTTGAACTAACGTGTCAAATTCCGTTGGCATACAATCTCGAGACGCAGCGGACACAGCGTTATTTGTTTGGGAAATGATTTAGCAGCAATATGGTCATTCAGTAGTGCATGAATAGTCGTAGAGTGAATAGTAAAAGAAAGCAAAGCCACGGGAAATTGTACCAAAATGGAAGGGAAAGGTACTTTTTAAGGCAGTTGTGAAAAAATATGAGTGCCCGTCAGGAAAATGCATAAGTGAGCAAGTGATCTAACTTTCCCCCGACTTTAATGTGTGGGCATTAATCAGTGAAATACCCGACTAACGCACTTTTCGATGTGATTAATTTGAAAAAGACTTTTTCATTTGATCAAACGCATAGGCACCGCAGTCGTTCGATGACGACGTGCATTTTCATGCTTTGATGAGCCACCAAATATGATTCTAATCGTAATTTGCACAAAAAAGACCATACAGAAACCGCACGAGAAGGAACCTTCAAGAACTGTCTTTTTAGAGGTTTTGATGCACGCATTACGAAAACTATCTTTTGAGCAGTCAAGCGAGAACACTGAACACCAAAGAGCTCATTGGCATTTTAAGGACGACCTATAACTTGACAGACTCCATCGTGAAGAAAAGCCACACAGTGATTTTATGAAAGGGAAGTTCTCCCAATACATAGAACACGACAGTTTGGTGATGACAGCGGCTAATTAAATTACAACCTCTCAGCCCGGGAAGGCGGGTTGCCCGTTAGCCTAGCTGCTGACTACCCGGCGCACCCACAGGTGGCAGATAGTGGGACGACCTTCAGTGAAGGTTAGCTGCGAAATGAGCAGGCTCAGGTCTGACGAATATGCAGTCGCGGACCAGCAGCGACATTGCTACCAGGGTGCGAGGAGCTGAAGTCTGGCTAGCTGAAAGCCTTATAAAATGCCGCAAAACCCAATGACAGAAATGTGATATGGCGAGCGTCAACCGCCATTAAATAAGTTTGCTTGCCACCGCTACCTTGTGGTTAGGCTTTTAAGCCAAAGCGCTAGAGACGACCTCGAACAAACAATCCGAGCGGCCGTTGGGGACCCGTCTGAATTCGAAATTCACAAGAAACCTCATGAAATATGTCCGATCACAGTATTACGACCGCGGGAACCGACGCGCTCCGCAACCCTAGTCCGGTGGTGTGGGCGAATAGTATGCGAGCTAGATTACTCAATCAGGGGCGGACTCTTGGTACTGGATACTGGAATGTGCGAACATTCCGACCCCGGTACCCAAAGTATCACCGTGCACAGCCTTGATCAGTACAAAGTGTATGTCTGCTGTCTGTCGAGTCGAATCACACTTTACCCTGTACCACAGCGGTCCGCGCGACTCTTCTAGTGCACACGGTGTGGCGATCGTCCTATCACAACAAGCGGACCTCACGCTACTTGCCTGGAAACCAGTCAATGACCGGATGGCCTACGTGCGACTGAAGGGTTACTTCGCGAACATCTCAGTCGTCTCTGCGTATGCACCAACTTCAGCTGCTGAACAGCGCGATAAAGAGGCGTTTTACTCGTAGTTGCAAGCGTTACTTGAAAGACTGCCTCACCGCGACCTGCTGATTGTTACTGGCGATTGGAATGGTCGAACTGGACCTGGCGACCCCACAACCAGTCGTCTTCTTGGCCGCTTTTCGATTGGTTCCCGATGTGAAAGTGGCAAGAGATTGCTGGACTTTGCTGATGAGAACCGACTGCTCGTCACCAACTCTTGCTTCCAGCATCGCAAGAAGCATCTTCTGACCTGATAGTTAAACGACGGCCATACGGCCAGTCAGATTAACCACATACTAATCAGCTCAAAGTACCGCAGTTAGGTCCACGATAGCAGATCGATGCGTGGTGTTGGGACTGTTAAGGACCATGGGTCGGAAGATGTCCTCGTTCGTACACACTTGAAAGTTCATCCCCCATCCGCGCCAAATATGCCACATCTTCGACGCCTCGACGTTGCAAAAATCCGGCAAACCAGCACTGTCGAGGCCCTGAGCAAACAAATCCGGTCCTGTTTTACGACCCGAGCCGATGGAGAAGGCAGTAACCAGTGGTCGTCACTGAAAACGTCAGTCTATGGGACAGATGAAAAAATCCTTGGATAGACCTAGCGACGCCGCAGTGACTGGATCAGCGGAAGAACCCTGCAGTTGTATGCTCAGATGGCTCGATCCAGGTCCCGTAACGAGGACTGCTTCCGCCAACATCGGAGGATGACGGCAAAGTCAGCCAGGGATGACCGAAAGCACTATTGGACTGAAACAGCGACCTCCATGGAACAGACCTCGAACGTTGGTGACACTCGAAAACTCTACCAACTTATCCGCCAAGTTAGCGGTAATCCCTCTACACTGAGTGACTCTGTTCGCGACGTGAATGGCGGTTTTATTGCTGACAACTCGGCCAAAGTCGAGCGCTGGCGTGGGCACTTCGAGCACCATCTCAACTTCGACACCCAACCCACATCGCCCTTGCTCTCCTCTTCAGCGGAGTTTCTTCCCTCTCCAACCTATGCAGTGCCATGCGACCCCCCTCCTAAAGGAGAAGTCGTCGATGTCATTCGAAAGCTACGCAACAATAAGGCACCCGAAGAGGACGGTATACCCGCTGAAATCTTCAAGTCTTGTGTCGAAACTCTGGCGCCCTGGCCACATGAGGTGATTGAACAAGCGTGGAGAAACGAGTTTGCCCTTGATGACTGGAGCTTACGCATCCTTGTACCTATCCTCAAGAAGGGAGATAAGACAAGATGCGAGAACTACCGCGGCATAAGCCTCATCGACGTTGCTGCGAAGATCTTCCTTATTGTCCTACTCAGGCGATTCCAGGCTGTGCGTGACTCAAGGACGAGGCCAACCAAGCCGGATTTCGTGCTCGACGTGGATACGCAGACCAGATATTCATCCTGAGGCGCATTCTCGAATTTTGCCATAGATGCCGTCTACTTTGTTGACTTTGCCGTGGCGTTCAATTCCGTCCATCGTGAGTCCCTGTGGCGGATAATGATATTAGATGGTGTACCGCCAAAAATCATCGTCGTGATTAAGGCCTGTTATCGCTCCACCACCACACGAGTCCTGGTCCCTAACAATCTTCCCCAACCGTTGGGTATTCGGTCTGGCGTTCGACAGGGTTGTATCCTGTCGCCCAATCTCTTCAAGTACGCTATTGACTGGATTCTCGGGAAGGCTCTACATGAAGTTGACGGTCTAGAGTTTGCATTCGGACACCGACTGACTGATCTCGGCTATGCCGCAGATTTTGCCTTATTTGCCTCAAGTTTTATTGATCTGCAGCCTATGGTGTCACGGGTGAACGAGGTCGTTAAATCGGTCGGTTTATCCATAAACGCTTGGAAGACTAAAGTGTTTTCAAGCTGCATCCCTGGACGGGAGGAGGGGACTCTCAGGATTGATGACTGTCAATTTGAAGAAGTAGACAGTTTTAAATACCTCGGGGCGAGGCTGCTGCCGAACGGCCATAGTTAGGATGACATTGTCTTCCGAACTGATGCTGCCCGCCGGATTTTCTCAGGCCTTAGGAAATGCCATTGGATCCGACGCGACTTCTTCTCCGGCACTAAGATTTGCGTGTACAGTGCATCTGTCCGGTCTGTCCTTCTCTATGGTTGTAAATGCTGGACTGTGCGCGTGGAGATATTTGATCACCACTGCTTGAGAACCATCCTTCGAGTGAAGTTCACCGACTTCATCTAAAATGAGACAATCTCGTCGTCCACCTCAGGAGCTCAGTGTTACTGCCCTCGATACGGCGCCGTTGCCCCACGGGAGGCGTCGTAGAGGGGTCAGCTCAAAACCTGACTCGACACAGTTCGTCAAGACATGGAAGCGGTTCTTGGACCCTCGGTATTCGGTCTACGTCATTAGCGAAGGGAATGGGTTGAGCTGTCCAGAGCTGCTGCCGCGGATCGTCACGCGTGGAGAGGTACAGTTCGGAACATCATCGAGGCCGGCTAGCTTAGGCATGATCGCAGCCGTATCAAGTACAAGTAAGTACTGATTAGCCTCCCGCCATGCGACCTTATGAAATTATTCCAGTAACGTCCCCATCCGCGAATTAAAGCGAAGTCCTTTTCGCTATGGCTCACTGCATCTCGAATAAGGCAAAATGAGAAAAACATCACACCGAATTATCGCAGAACCATTTTGGAACACACATGCAAACATTTGACAATTAACTAGTTGGTACGCTACATGCTACACTCATTCTTGGAGTATATTTACTCTTAGGGTTACCAAGTACTGTTTGCTTACTTGTTTGCATGGACAGTTTTTTTGCATTTCAGCAAATTAAGCTGACTCGTTTGCCGCAAATTTTAGCGCTTCCAGCGTTTCCGGTTTTCTCAATAGAACTGTACTTTAAGTACCTCTTTTGTCTTTTCATTTAATTGTAGGTTATACGTTATCGGTTTCTTGGTCAGTGCATTTGGGTAGGTTTCCTGTTGACTAACTCATAAATTTACGCCCAGTTCACGAGTTATGTCAGTTCCTGAAGATGAACCTCCTGTGTCCGTAATTTTAGAATAGTCTATGGTAGACTTTTTTTCGTTGGCGGGACGACCAAGAAGCTACAGCTAGAAAATACGCTGAAGGATTCGGGCTTCGAAAAGCTCGTTTACACCCAAAGGTTGAGGCAATAAGGTTGCCTGCCATTCTTTCTGTCTGTCTGCTGAAAGTCCTATTTTTCAAAGACCTAAACCGCTAAAATATGATCTTGATATTTAAAATGACTACAAGTAAAAGAGCTATTCCGGATGGGTTTCATAAGCTTAATGGTATGGTAAGGCCCTGGCCTGACAGGAATAAGCTGACAACAGACTACAACTGTTTCTGGTCATCTAACTAGAGCCCGAAGGAAAAAAGAACTCAAAAAAATCCGCGCCTCATGACGTTATCGGCGGAGTGGGAACTGCAGCTCCTGATCTGCTCCCTGCTGGTAGAGGTGGTGGCAGTTGTGATAGAAGTAACTGCAGTCGTACTAATTATTAGTAGTAGCAGAAACAATAATGGTCATTTCCACGCCTGTTAGACTACCAACACTACCAATACCATCCTGCCTATATCATGCGCCGCTGTACGACTGCCAGTTAGGCTCGAGAGAGAGCCCGTAAGGTACAACGGGACAAGTGAGTTCCGTGGTAACGATCGGTGGGCTCACCTCTACCTCAGACCTTTATGTTAGAACGTGACTATGGCAAAGACGCATTTCCCAAACTTTTTCGTCTGACAAACGGCACAAGGGATTTAAATAACAGTCTTTACCAGAGCGATCCTCGGCAATCGGAAAACGCCTAGACGGAAAGTCAAAAAAACTGTTGGTGGCATAGGATAAGGTGAGTTTTCTTGTCTTCGGTACTGTAGGCAAGTTTGATAATTTATTGTTATTGGCAGACCCGAAACTCCTTTCAGGTATTTTAAGTGCTATAAAAGAGACCTGCAGAGCCTCCTATATTTTTTTCCAGTAAAACATCATCATGACCAAAGGACGAACAAAGGGAGTCAAACGCGCTATAGAAGGCAGACTTTATGTTAATAGGAAGGACCAGACCCCTACAACTTAAGAAAGGACAAGACCCGCGTTGGGGGTAGTCTGACGGCAAGTGATGCGTACGGGAGTGACCGATCTCATTAAGTGCTGGCTGAAATTCTGAAATGCGCTTTCGATTAGGAAGGATTACTTGATCGCGGTTGTAAAGCTGACTTCCTTGTAGCATAATCTTACAACATTTGGGACTCGGCAGGATGTCAGCTTTTGAATACACCGCTTTTCAATCTCCTGTGGAAACCATACTCGGCAAGAAATGACTACTTAAGTAGCATGCATTTTCCCATTGATTTTCGATGGCTCTGCAAATTCAAATATATCTTATAGAAACTACAAATAAAAATATGCTTTCTTTCGGTCAATTAATAGAGAATCACGTCTTCTTTATATTTTATACTCAAGGAAGGAGTATAATTAGGTTTTAAAGTTTCTAATTATGGATTTTTTAAGACCTCGCAATGTCATTCACATAGCATCGTACCTCGCGGATTACCACAGCTCCTTATGAAATGTACAACATAGTCCGCATCCGTTCCAAAATTCTATAGAATCTGTATGGTATCTTTTTAATGACATATAAAAATATGTTATTTTTTCACGCGGAACGCATGCACCTCGTAGACTGAAATCATTAAAAGCTAGTGCAAAGAATGATCAGGCTCCAAATTATTCGGCAATTAGAAAACTTTTTTAAAACCACATTATACTCCTGCCTTGAGTATAAACTATAAAGAAGACGTGATTCTCTATTAATTGACTGAAATAAAACATATTTTCGTCTGTGGTTTCTGTAAGATACAGTTGAATTTGCAAAACGATCGAAAATCAGTGGGAAAAATGCATGCTACTTAAGTAGTCATTCCTTACCGAGTATGGTTTCTACAGGAGATTGAAAAGCGGTGTATTCAAAAACTGACATCCTGCCGAGTCCGAAAGGTTATAAGATTATGCCGCAAGATAATCAGTATTACAACCGCGACCAAGTAATCCTTCCTAATCGAAAGCGCATTTCAGAACCTCCGCCAACATTTTGAGATCGGTCACTCACTGTACATGAGGTATCACCACCCTACGAGAGCGAGGAATGATGGGAAGATGCGCACTTACTAATAAGCCGTCATCCCGGGGCCCAGACTGTAAGGACAATGAAACCGCGCCGGACGACAGTCTACGGTTGTGTGTCCTCCCCTCGACATGCATCGCCCAATTCGCGACCTGCACCGTAGTGCAACAGACTTCACAAAACCTTTCGGTCGGCCCGCATTCTACGCGACCGGAAAGCGAGGCGTTCGACTGCAAAAGAAATGAAGAATAGGCAGTCAGGGCAAGGACGGTTAACGAATTGGCCAGTTAAGAAATTAGCAGGGACAGTTTCTACGTAGATTATGGAAATGCATCACCGCCGGTCTTACGGCTCGGAAAGTAGAAAAATCACAGGACGAGGCAAACCGCTGAATTTGACATGAAATCCCCGAAAAAAAACACTTCTGCACAGCCCGCTGGAAAACCATCTCCGTGTAGACTGCGGCCGAGGTTCCTACCCATGCCACTCGCAGATGGCGACAGGAGCTATGCATACATTCCGCTAAAGTGGGGGAGGGGAGCGGACGACTCCTCTTAGCCTACTGCTGTCGTCAGACAGAGATGATATTTTGGCCTGAACAGATTTCCGTTGAAGGAAACATTTTTTGCGTGGGACATTCGGCTCACACACGTACCATATGACAAAGACCTCCAGGGACGAGCAACTGTGGACAGTTAAAACTCGAAATGAAAAATAATGAGAAATTTCAGACTCTTTAGTTGTAATGAGAAAACAGTAAGTGACGTACCTCGTTAACTAACTACAGCTCTGCAATTTAATCTCCGTTAGAAATGATCACTTGGGTGGAATTGTAACGGCAATTGTTATGCGACGTATTTCCGAGGTATTTCGGTCACGTCAGGGTACCCGGCTTTTGAATGCATGTTCTTCCAGCCGCCTGCAGGAATCCCATTCGCCAAATATAACTGCGTAAGTAATGTGATTTTTTCTCACTGGGTTTTGATGCCCTTGTAAACGCGAACATGTTTTATAGAAGGCATGCGCAAAAGCATCCTTATACGCATTTTGTAGCGAATGACGTTTTACTCAAATCTTCTACCCGGACAAATTGCACCCTTTAGTTCTTTTAAAAAGTTTTCCAAATTCCGGATAATTTATCTGCCGGTGCACTACCAGCTGTACACCTGCCGTTTAAGAAAAAGCATACACTCCTTGTGCTATCAAGGTGTCATCTGGCGTTCATAAAATGTTGCCGCTGATATGCACCATGTTGCATGATTCATAAGGGCATTAATGGACGGGCATTTCACAGTCTTAAAAATCTCCGAATCATTAACCTTTTAGGAAACTGAAAGCTACAAGTTTTCTGAGAGGAAAAGTTTAAAATACAATTAGCTACAAAATGAGTATAGAAAAAGACTTCTCAAGCCTGCTTTCTAAAATCTGTGCTTCGATCCATAAAAGTGTCGAAAACCAACGGAAAATAACACTATAGTTATTTTTAACCGCGTGGCCGGAATGGCGTGCTTTCAAAATCTGACATTTTGGCACGACGGGAATATCTTAGAAGCATGCTGCATAATAATCAATATTACAACCGCATCCAAGTAATCCCTTTTAACGGGAATCACATTTTAGAACTTCAGTGAACGTTTTATGAGTTTCGCTATTTGCTGTGCGCCGGTTGTTGTAGCTAGGACCGTAGCAAGCACACGAGATGGAGTGGACGAACAAATATGGATACAAGAGTGAGAACGAGAATACTCTATAACTGGGCTTTATTCATCTTACAATTGACATACTGGGACTAAAACGAGAAATAGAAAAGTAGTTGATAAGATGGAATTTAGGCAGGGGCTTATGTCAGCATGACACCGGTCAGCTACGCTGTCTGGTCCCTCATGAAGTTGCGTCTGAGTCGAGACAAGAAACTCTCCCTGATTTCAAAACGTCACCTGCTCTTTGCCCTGTTTCCGACGTTGCTGTCGTTGATTTTGAATTCCATATTGTCATAAGGTCCCAACTACTATTCGGCGTTGTCGCTCACGTTCACTATTTATTTAAGAAACAGTTTTCAATTATTTAGCCCTTAGTTGCAAAGCCCAACCTTGGCTGTTAAGTGGGCTTCATGTCGACGCTATATCACTGCTCGTTTTCGCATCACCATGACTGAATGATAGGAAACATGGTATGACCCTATTACACCAATGAAGATTGTCGGAAGTGAACTTTAACCAAAGGATTCCCCGAGATCCATTGCGTTCTAATGAAGGATCTTGCGTCACGGTGAGAGGAAGCTGTGGCTGTGCAGTCCCACATAGTCTACAAGCAGTCTGAATAAGTACGGCCGAGCGTCCAATCAGTCCTGAAGAATTTACAGCCACAGTGAGTAACCGATCTCATGAAATGTTGGCTGACATTCTGAAACGCGTTTCCGATTAGGAACAATAACTTGGGTGCAGTTGTATTACTGATTATCGTGTGGCCTAATTCTATAATATTTCGGACTCGACAGGATGCCAGCTTTTGAATGTACTGCTTCTCAGTTTTCTGCAGAAACCGTATTTGGTAGAAAAAATGACTACATAAGTAACATGCATTTTCCCCCATTAATTTTCGATGGTCTTGCAAATTCAAATATATCTTGTAGAAACCACGAGCAAAAATAGGTTTTCTTTCAGTCGTTTGAGAATTACGTCAACTTTATATTTTATACTTGGAGGAGTATAAGTAATTATATACCTCAAAGCATAAAATATAAAGTTGACGTGATTCTCTATCAAACGACTGAAAGAAAACCTATTTTTGCTGGTGGTTTTTACAAAATATATTTGAATTTGCAAGACCATCGAAAATTAATGAGGGAAAATGCCTGTAACTTATGTAGTCATTTTTTTTACCAAATACGGTTTCCGCAGAAGATTGAAAAGCAGTACATTCAAAAGCTGGCATGCTGCCGAGTCCGAAATATTATAGAATTAGGCCGCAAGATAATCAGCATGACAACTGCACCCAAGTAATTGTTCCTAATCGGAAACGCGTTTCAGAATGTCAGCCAACATTTCATGAGATCGGTCACTCACTGTACGCAGATAATTAGAGATAAAGAGGAGGTAATTATGACTTTTTGGTGAACCGGAAGTTGCACAGGCTCGTAACAACTGCCCACAAACTCTTAATCTGTCCTCAGGATTGTTTTACAATGCCTAAAGTAGCTTCACAAGACCATCCTCAATTACAAAAACGACCATCCGGCAGCCTATAAATAAGGTTGTCTACAGTGGTTCTCTAGGTAGTCCCTGAAGATACAGAAGGTGCGAAAAACAGAAAACTTTTCAAGTGTCTCAAAGGCAATCATTTTCTAGTGCCTGCGCCTATGGCAATCACGAAGATCGGTGGACTTCCTACGGTCCACAAAAGTTGCGCCCTACTACGGCTGATGGCATCGTTGACCAGTGTACCCAACTACAAGATTTCCGAGTGAGTATTTGAGGAACTCCATTTACTCATAATGAGCCGTAAAGCCTCAATCTGGAGATGATTTCTAACAGAAATGAAAGGACCAGGGGTAGCGACGGATGAAATAATGGTATCCTTCAACCCCGTCTCTTTGTTTGCGTCTGTCACCGAAATCATGAATGTAAGGACTTAAATCCTGCGACATGCTTGTTCCTGGAGGCGTTCCGCTTGAAATCCCAGACCCACGTCCATAAACCAACTTTTAATTCAACGCAGAATACTATCACAAACCGACGGCAGCCTCCGTCAGTTCACCTTTCTCTGGCCTTCTTGACGAGGTCACACTGTTCGAATCAGAAGTTAAAGCTCTGCTCTTTACTAACTCTAAGCTGTAATCGTGTCATGAAGGATAGCATTCTTGCCAACAATAAAGCGGAACCACTGCGGACCCTCCACAACACTACCGACGCAATGCTGACTTTTTAATTTTTGAGGAAATTAGTGCGCGAACGTGAATTAAATCCTTCGGGATGAAACTTTTCGGGCTCAATCCAGAATTCGAAATGAATATTCCGCCCGAAATCAATCAGCTACAGCGGAATAACCGCGCAGCATTCAGAAGCTGCCAACAGGTAGTCGGTAGTATACAAATACAGGATGACTTACCACATTAACGGCACAGGTACTGGCTAAAACCCCAGACACGCGTTTTTCGTTGATCTTGTGCCACTGCATGATGCAGCTGCGAGGGGTTCGGCTTATAAATGTGTCGCACGTGCTTTCCGGCATATAAACTTCAGTTTCCATGCTGCTTTGTTTGCCTTTCTGGAAAATTATTGCGCTAACGTCGAGTAAGTCCTTCGGAGCAAAGTTTTTCAGGCTCATTCTTAGAGTTGAAAAATGGGCGCGCACTGATCGGGTTATGGAAGTCACTCATCCCGTTGTGCCTTGGGGCATATTCTCTCTCGAGCCCCACCAGCAGCCGCAGAGCAGGGCGTAATACAGGCAGATTAATGGACGAGGCTTACAGGCCAAAAATGGTCATTCAAGTCTTCCTAGTGTTTGTCGGTAGTGCTATCCCGCTTACATTACGAACCGCTGCGAGGTTCAAGGCAGAGCTCGAGAAGGACCCCCAAAGCACAATAGAAAGAGTGACTTAGGTGACGCGATCGGTGCGTGCCCTTTACCATTGTTAATATACCCCATCAAAACCGACAGGACTACGACCTCCTGGTCCAGTGACTAGCGCGTTGAACTTCCAACTAACAGGTCGCGAGTTCGAGCCTCAGGGTTGGGTATGGATGGCCAATGACAACCAACAAGGCAGAAATGGCCATTTTAGTCTCCCTTGCCTTTGTCAGCAATTCCATTCTGATTTACTCCATGTCCGCACATTTGTCTCCACAGAAATTAAACAAGACGGAAACAAGATGGAAACTGGAGTTTATGTACCAGAAGGCACATAGGGGACGCTGGGGAGACCCATTGATGAGCTAGACTCCTCGCAGCTGCGCCATGCAGCGGCACAAGATAGACGAGACACGCGTGTCCTGGCTTTTAACTTGTGCCTGTGATGTTGGTATGGTAAATCATCTACTATCTGTATACCAATGGCGCAACTTTACCAGAGGTTTAACATATATCCAGGACGAAGATTTACGAAAAGTTCCCACATCTAGATGTCATCGTACAAGGACAGACCGTTGAAACATTGCCCATTCCAGTTTACCGTAAAGAAACTCATGTCGAATTCATCCTGCATCCTGAGATCAACTACCCTCACCCTCTGCTCTCTCTCTCTCTCTCTCTCTCTCTCTCTTCCTCGCTAAGAAATGGAAACCTGCTAACGACCTGATTAATCGGGCACAAACTGCCTGGTCTTAGAATGAAAGTGGTCAAGTAGAATTAAACAATCTTTTAATACTAATTTCTCTAAGTGAATACTCGCGCAGTTTCCTGCGTCCGTGGATGAGAAAACGAGTCAAAAGAATAATAGGTAATTCCAATCAGGTGCCCAAATGAAGAAACTAACGTACTCATCCCTTTAATAGGGAAAGTGGCCGAACTTGAGAAAGTACCAGATAAAAGTGACGTGCAAGCCAACGACTAAATTATACACCCAGCTTATACGTCCTACGGACAGAGACGGCTGTTCCGGTAAGAAGGAAGTGGGCTGCAAAGTGTCATGCTGTGCTTCTATGTAACATAGTGGTCATGATGGAAAATCTACGTTACATGAGCACGTGGACATCCACCGGCGGCAAGGTGGTGAGAACACCTTTCCTAGGAAGTCACACATGCACCAGATATTGGGTACACATTTCGCTTGGACGGAACTCGAATTTCGGGCCTTTGTTCGCTCATGAAGGGCCTGGGATTTCTCACGGCAACGCATTCGCATGAACCATGCATCAGTCGGCGTATCGATTTGAATTTAAAGAACAAAGGTCACAGAGACAAGCGGAGGGGACGGCAGCCAATTTAAACGGGATGACCGTATGCAGGGCAAACTCATTAGCACAAACAAAAGGTAATAATTGATTTTTAGGCGCGTTCGAAAGATTGTTTTGTATATTTGTCACACCCACCGATAACGACATAGGGACCCGCAGTCAAAATGTCACGAAATAAGTCCTACTGTTTCCCCTCCAAAATAGACGATCTAATCAGCTCTTCACGATGAATTTTTGAGCATGTCGCTGAGAACGGAGGCTCTGCTACAGTGAAGAACGAAAAGGTCGTCACGTTTATTTAGTGAATATGGCCTGAACTTTTGGGGTGCGAGGCGGACCTTAGTCGGCGTCAAACGAGTTCCCTGCCGCAGTGTGAGAAGCTGGTGCGGACTATTCCACAGACTTGTAGGAGGCAGTGGATTAAACTTAAACATGTTGCATGTTAACTTTCGAACTCTGGGGTGGATTATACACGACAAAGACTGTAAAGGCAAATACTTGTTAGCAAATATAAAGATCAGAATAATAGCTAAGCCAATAACGTACCATATTGAAGTCAGAAGTGTTGTTACCTGTCGCGCGAGCTCTATGACGCCTGCCTTTCAAATGAGCATCATACTGGCTTTCAGAGTTGAGTGTTACATTGCAGACCAAGCAGTCAAAAGGTCCTGATTTTCCTTCCTTCCAGACCAGCACAGGCGTGACTCCAGGGAAGTATGAGTTTGACTGCGCAGACAGGGAGGAATGAGAAAAGGAACATTCAGAAGAGTTTATGTCCTCTAGAGAACCTCCGAGTATGACTGAGGATGGACATTGATGACTTAGTAAGCTGGCCGGAGTCATTTCAGCACCGCAGGTGAAGCAAGGCTGGAGAGATGGCCCAGATTCCGGAGTAACCTGAGTGGGCGCGTAATAAGTCAAGCAGTCTGTCACGTTGCTGGATTCCGAGTGAGATCGCTCACAACGTCGAATATGACTCCGGCTGCTCATGTGGGCACGTAGCTGCTCCAGTGAATTGCAAGTCTTGCTGCACACCTTACATGAGTAGTCTCGAAGACCTGATGTATTGGCAACGGTATTCATGCTCTGTCGAAGAAAGCAAAAACCGGAGTTGCTCATTGGTTAATGCGTCTACACTGACCTGTGAAATAATGAAAAAAACTCGAAGTAACGGGATTTTAGAAGTATTCAGTACCGCAAATTAACAGGAAACATAGCGAAGTTTGCAAAATACTGGGCGTAAGTGCATTACGCTGGACTCCAGGCATTGACAGTCGTGTCAGTTAACACAGTAGGAAACACGATTACGAAGGAGGGGATGGTTCCAATAAACATCAGTATGAAGTGCCTTGGAGCCTCAGCTGACGTTTAGTTCCCAGCTACACAGGGCATCCTGGGAACACGGATGGTGGAAGGGCTTTCAGTAGTGGCAAGCTGCGATAAGCGGACTTTTACGTCCGGTAGGCAGGCCGTCACAGATCAACATCTGCAGTGATACGAGGGACCCGAGGGCTGTCTGAACACAAACGACCATAGAGTGGTGTAGTGACCGTGAACGCCAAATGAGTGATCTAATTTCTCGTTCCCGCATTTTGGTTTGACCCCACCACGCCAAAGGTCCAGAGAAGACCATGACAAACGGCATAGGTGAAAGTACGTGTCCGACCAATGTATTATGGGCTATGCTACGACAACCGCAAAAACTGCAGCGTCCCAAAACTCTGGCCACATGATGTACCTTTGGTGCACTCTAGCGCATGCGATACACGAGGCGCCCTCATAGTAGCCTACCACATGGAGTGGATACCAGGCCGTGTGCGGAACGCGTAGACGGGCCGTTCAACTTTGTCAGTCATGGCGCCCAAGGCCACCGTCGGTCGTCGGAAAACTATCTTGCCGCTGGGGTCTGGTAGGTGTTGACGGATTGGGTGCGGCAGGTACTGCGCAAGTCTACCGCATTATAAACCATTTCAAGTACAAGTCACTGGTGCTGCACTCATTCCGTGAAACACACGGTGGAGGTCGTCGCCTGCGACAATCGAACTATCAAGTTCCGTCTGAAATGTTTAAACAATTTTTGATAACATCTTCCCCTAATTCTCATGCATAACAAAAGGGTCAATTAAAGCGGAAGATAACTAATGTCCGTGGAACACGTGAATAGAGTAATACACAGTATTGGTGTAGGAAGGATGGCAGAGCGAAATTCGGACGCTTACTTAAAAAGCGGGGGCGAAACTGACAAATATCCATTCCAATGACTTGCACTGACATTTGATGGAGTTAAAGAGCGAAATCCAAAACAACTCATGGCTATTTTTGCGATGCGGCTGGATAAAAAACATTAGCGGCACCTGAATCGATGTCGTCAGCAGAGTCTTTACCGACTCTCAAAATACCTACGGACCCGTCGAGGCATCTCCATCGTCATAGAGATTCACGGTTACAAAGCATCCACCGGTCAGCCCACGTCAGTGACAGTTCAGGTGTGCAAGTAGATGAAGAAGGAAATTGGAGGTTGTTGAAGGTTATCGAGCGATAACTGCCATTGAAAATAAGTACGTTGACTTTGTTCCAGATGAGACAGTCCGCATTTGCTACATGACGAGAACATTAAAGATTATCAAAGAAAGACAGACGGGCTGGTTTGGGCACGTTCCTATCCGTCTGCCATGCACGCCAAAAACTACTACTACCGTAAAGTTAACAACGCGCCTTTACTAGCGGCGAATATATGGCCAGCTTAAAAGTAATCTCGGTGCAGTCCGTCCAGACACACAGATCGTTCTTGAAGCATCTGTATTCAGTCCTCTCTGTCGGACGTAGTTTTCAGAGGACAAAAACGTCATTTGATGGCGAGCGAAACGTTGGAAGCCTGTGACCGACGGTTCACTGCTTCCATGGACTTGGAGCGCCATTATTTAACCTCGGAAGTAGGCTACATTGAGATCACATATAACTCCGAATCTGCGCACCAGACTTCAAAATGTCAAATTCCGTGCAGAAATAGAAAGTCTTTAGCATAAGTTGTTTTGAGCAACTGCAGCCACTGGCTGGCCGCCTTACAAGGCACAAGCTTGCTGACGATTATCCACATACTGCTATATATCCTCGCAATACAATGAACAGGGCAGGCCGCAAGTTAAGCTTGTCCGCAGTGGGCGATGACTAGGCGTTCTCGCCATTACTTTAAATTATTGTAGTGAAATTCGGAAGTCGGTGTCTTTACCGCAACCGAAATTTCTTTAAGTAGTGAAACACATGCGTCTTCGTGAAAAGGAACAAAGGGGATCGGGTGGGGTCCGCCTTCGTTAGGCATCTAAAAAGGTCTTCCGGCTTTTGCAAAGACTTACAAAAATCTTGCGGCCTGGACTTGGACGGCTTGTTCAGCATCTGATTTCCCTACATATTGTTGACTTAGAGAAGACCAAAGGCGGCCTTCCGCAACGGCCCCTGTCCGACATCGTGGCGATGACGTGGGTTTATCCACACAAATGTACTGTATATGAATGCAGTACAACGAACTTCCAGATTCTCCCCCCTCCCCCCCCCCCTCCTGTGCATATGTTACGTCTCCGATATTTTCCTGAAATAAACATTTGAGGAAATACCCTTCTACCGTCTCCACATCACTGTGTATGCAACTAATTCCAAAGTTATGGGGGGGGGGGCGTCATTAAACAAGCTAACTGAGAATGGGCTAAGGGAGTTACAGCAAAGTATGAGGTATTATAATACAAAAAAGGGGGCGCATGTTAAGTAGCCGCTTCGTTTGCACAGTGCTATAACCAATTTTCACCTACTACTGGGCATCTAGACACGTCGGTATCGAGGCCACATCGACAGTGGCCAGCGTTGATATCGAGTCGGTATACCTATCTGGACAAGCCGATGCCGACGTACTATTCGCGTTTAACTGACCCATGGGTTGCTATCCTGATGACAATGAACTAGGACCGTGTTATCTATCATTGGCGTCAGACTGTAAAGCTGTTGCTATGTTCACCAGTGCCATCAGGGTCCTCAACAACGAAGGCACACATCGATTGCGCGCGCCACTGCAAACGGCGCAATTTGACGACATTATACCTAGGTACGCCGCTGCTTCCGTCAAGTGGTCGCCCATGTGACAAGCGATAAGTGCACACACAATGAATCACCTTTGCGTTGCGTGTCGAACGTGATCGAATACTTTCGTCAGGTACACAGGCGTCCCACGGTCTAATTAGGGGGCTTGTCGAGTGGAGTAGCTTGTTTTGCGCCTGTTGCTGTCAACTCGTGAAATTCTTATGCAGTTAACTGTAGGTAGCCAAGGCCTACAATTGTAGGCGTCTATAGATGCCTACAGGGGAGCCGAAAAAAATAGGAGCGACAGGAGCGTGAAACTCTTCAATGCTCTGATATCTGCTCACTAAATTTCATGATGTTGACTGGAGTTTAGGCTTCTGGATACTTCTCTGCTCCACACGTTTCAGCGAGGAAGGAGCTCCTTTCCTGTTAATAACGGTCTTAGGGCTGTTACTGACGGCTGCATCCGCAAAATTTTTATTAAATTACAGTTCCTGTGCTCGTTAATGACTATCTTTAAGGATGGACAGGAAATATATATTTCACAATTTGGTGAAAGTCGCCGTCCAAAGCATGGCACACGGACCAATGACTTTCAGTTGTCTTTGTGATCAGATTTTCGACCTCGTAAAACGCGCATATTCACCCTCATATGTTCGAAGGTTCAGGTTAAGGGCGCATTTGCAGCGTCAGGAAGTCGAAACCCATTAACCTTTCATTGGCCCATTGGGTTTTTAAAGGTTTCTGAAAGACTGTTAAATTGAAACTGAATCTTCCTCCTAACATCCGTCTACAGGACGAATTTGGAAATGTACAAGTTTCACACAACCGGTCAGAGAATGATGGGAGAGAAAGAAGGATTTATCTGGGAACTAAAGAAGGTTGAGTATATCTGCCTTCTGTTAGAATATCCACGCTTGAGCGCTCAGCAGCATCTGGGAAGAGAGTGGATAGGCATACTACCGTTAGTGGACTAGTGGCTCATGAGTTACCTCACACTGAGGAGGTTCGAGAGGCAAACTCACCCACTAAAGTAGTCCCCCTGCCTAAAACCTATTAATTTTTGCCTTTCCAAGAAGCAGCATGGATGACCATTCATAACGCCTAGAGAATATAGACGAACCCAATGGAGCGCTGAATGGATGATAGTTTACAAGCAACTATCCGATCCAGTTCTGTGCTCATCATCGAGAATAAAAACCTGTTAGTAAACAGGCTGCTGGTGTTCCTGACGTCATTTTATCAAATTGTTACACAGGAATCAGTGTGCGATTTTCAACCCGGCTGTCCTCAGTAATGGGATATCACTCAAAAGCTCTGGCGCGTCCTATTTCTGCTAACTATTGCCTCATTTTCACTTTATCAACAAGGGAGGGGTTGGTTAAAAAACACGCCGAGGTGGTTTCTTCATAGTCTGATCATTCGCGCCAGAATGAGATTGGCCCACGGCTAAAGTCTCACAATTTTGAACGGTCGCGAAC